GCATCCAGCTGCCAGTAAGTTACTGTAAAATTTACAGCAACCTATTTACAGTGTACATGTTCACTGCCATGTTCACAAGGATACATGTTCAATTTGGTCAAAATGAGAAATCTTACAAGACTGCATAATTTTGCTGCTGACTGATTTGGAATATGAATCATATTGGGGAGTGTGATGATGTCTAAATGCTGTCTAGGTAGGCAGTTCAAACCATGCCTTCATCTTCTCCACTGTACCGCTTCAGGAAAATGTACAGGTGTTTGCCAAATGAAGGTGACACAGAGTAGAACAGCTCTCTCTGACTCAAGACTTCCTGTCTGTCCTGCAGCAGCAGCATCTTCTGGTTTACACTGGAAAGACGCGTTTAGCACGGAACCTGCTGCAGGTACGAGCGGCTGATGGTGACGGTCAGACTTCATGAACGCTGTGTTGTGTTTTCACTGGATCACTGTGTGTGTGCAGGATGTGGTGAGGAGCTGGTATGCACGTTTACCCTCCATCGTATAGAACGCAGAGCAGCTGGTGACCAATGCAGAGGAGTTTGCTGAAGCCTGCATGGGTGAGACACACACACAAGGATGATATGGGTTAATGGTGACATTTTCTAAAAATTAAGGTTTAAAAAATATAGACTAGAATTGTTCCACCATATTGCACAAAATCAAAGTAGCATTAATCAGTTCAGTGTCCGATATCAGCCTGCATGTCAAGAAGCCCTTAACACTTAATTTAACCACTGGTAAGAACATAAATGGTTAAAGTAAAATGTATTTTATGAATATTGTTGATCCTGCTGATGTTTTGACAGGGCATTGGTTCTGTCAGTGGAGCTGGATATGGGATCTCAATCATTCAGAAGATCTCTGAACATCCTGAACAACAGCAGACGACATAAATCTGTGTGCCTTAACTGATATTATTTCAGACAAGTTATTTTTAGGACATGGCTCTGTACTCAGACCTTTCTTTTAATATTTTTTTTGGCTGTATAACAAAAGTACTCAGATGAAGATTAATTAATTACATACTACAGTTTAGAATAACTTATGTTAGGCTATGTTTATTGTGATGGCTCTTCATTATGAGTATTAAGATGGAAGTTTAGGGTTGCCTCATGAAATCATTTTAATCGTTAACAAAAGCTACTGTCACTTTAAAAGAAAAACAACCTATCTTGTATGCCTAAAGTAACATAACATTGAACGTCATCTTGACCCGCCCCTTGCGCGTCTGAAACACCTGTACGTATTGAAAGTAAAGTGAAAGTTAAAAGCTGGTGGAACTACATTTACTCAAACTGCGACTGAGATAATGTCAAGTAAAATGGACTTCAGTAAGCATAATTCTTTTGTAAAATTAATTGCCTTTTTCATAATAAAAACAATAAATACACTTTTTCTCAGGGGCGTTAATTGTGTATGGCAAGACATAGGCTACATTATTAAATTAGTTGTAAATCTTTGTAAATACTAACACACACAAAAAGAACAATACAATGAGTTTGCTATATGCTAGGCCAGGGGTAGGCAAGTTCGGTCCTAGAGAGCCGCAGTCC